GTATTAAAGGTATGTATATTTTTTACAAATAAAACACTTATCGTTGGTTTCTGAGACAATAACCCCTTTATAAAACATACTAGCTGTTGCCCGCGACTACATCCGTGCGCAATTAAACATAAAATTAATAAATAGCCTATGTGTTCTTTCAGACTATGTTCTATATCAGTCATTCCCAAAGTTAACGTGAAAACGCCCCCTTGTGGGCGCTGCAGGTCTCAAGTTGCGGGTTATAGTAAAAGTTTCGTTTAGAATTCTCCGTTAATATACATATATACAATAATTAATTAATTTAATTTGAAGTTATAGTGGTTTTTAAATATGTATAGACAAAAATATGGGGGCGCTACAAAAATATTTATTCTCAAAGTGGGCAGTAGACAAAATAAGTTTGGGAACCATTATTCTATATGTATGTATGTCAAATTTCACCAAGATCCGTCGAGCCGTTCGGAGATACCTTCAAACAAACATCCATCCATCTAAACATTCGCAATAGTACGATTATTGTTTCGGTTTTGGCTTGTTTAAATTAAGTCAAAAAAGTACAAGCGAATTTGTTCTCTAAAGCATTGACTTTTAAATAGTAAATTCTCTAGCAAATAACTTACTATTTCTATATATTTATGATAGGAGCGAGCTAAACAAGAAGAATTGGATCAAGTAAAGAAATACGCGATCGCAACTAAAGAATACGAAGAAGAGATAGAAAAGATGTTGTGTAGGTGAGTGCACGTATTGCATTAACACTTTTTCACTTGACAGTTTTGTTGACATCCAAATGTCAAACTGTCAACTTGATTTAAACCAAATCATGATTTTGACAAAAGATGAAAAGATTTTATGTTATTGCAATTCGAATGACATGACACAGTTCAAAATTGGTCAAGTCAAGCTTCAGGATGTCACAAAGAAACACACATACATACAAAGATTACACGCGACTTTGATCGTAATTCTTAGGCCATTTGTACACATTACAACGTAAATCTTCCTACGGAACAGATACGCAGCGACCGTGGAGTTGTAAACATCGGTAAAGTCCCGTAACGCGTAACCCCCATGACAGGTTTTTGTAAATAAAAAAATGATTTATAAGGGTTCCGTTTTTTTCCTTTCGAGGTACGGAACCCTAAAAATTAATAAAAGGAATCACTATTGTCATTTAGAATAAGGAATATGTGCAAAAAAAGTATATACCAAGAGTCTGTAGATGATGTCTTTTGTTTTAAAAAAAACGTAAATCTGCAAAACTAGGCAATTTTAGTCGCTTAAAAACTTACATATTAATACAATGTCATATAGTTACAAACGCGTCGCCGACATTTCGTTCTTTAATAGTCAAAATTATTACCTAGTAACATGTTTATCAAGATTGTCGTGAGGAAAATCTAATTGTTGATCAAGATGGCGTAGTTCCCTATACCGTTGACAAGTGACTAAGCTTCTGCTGACCGAATAGACGACTCGCGTCGACGATTCAACGTATGTACTTAGCAACGCGATACTCGCGATGCTACCATGCAATATTAGTTTCAAAGATTTACGTTGTGTTGTATACGAAGGGGCTTCATCATCATCAGCTCACAATGCGTCCCCGCCGAGGGCCTCGGAGCCTCCACTAAGTTACGGGTGACTAGACCATAGTCAACCACGCTGGCCCAGTGCGGGTTGACTTCACACATATCTTTGAATTTCTTTGCATATTGCAGGTTGCATCACGATGTTTTCCTTCAACGTAAGATCGTTGGATAAATGTACATATGTAAATCTGAAATCGAAAAACACATTGGTACATGGCGGGATTCGAACCCAGAACCTGCAGATTGCAAGTCAAGTGCTTGACGCCTGAGCCACCGAAGCTCGAAGGGGCTTGGTATAAGTAAATTATGTCATAGATTAAAGGATAAGAAATCATAAACAGACGTGACCCTCTTATCTTCTAAATATCAAGAAGGTCGAAAGTTTGAGGTCTAAATAAGGAGTCGACTTTGAAACAATGTTTAGTTATTTCATAGTTAAAAATAATTATTACGTACGTGACTATGGTTATACGTAATTTGATGTTAAATTAACTTTATTGTTCTTTAACTTTTGATAAAACTTCTGATTTTCCAAAAAAAAAAAAGATTTTGACCCAAATTTAATTAAGAAAAACAACACAACTCCTGTGATCTAGAGGGGTAGGCAGAGACCATGGACCTCCATTTAGCGCGGTACTAACGCACCTCTCATGATTCTTCTACATCCATACATGCACGTCAAGGAAAGTATGGGAAGTGGAAAAGGACTTTCCGGATGAGAAGATGCATGGGAAGGGAAATATTTTCTTTCTGTACATCCTCTTCTCTGTCGATTAAAGGTAGGCAACGCATATGCAATTGCGTATGTCTATGGGCAACGGTCACTTCGCTGTTTCAGCGATTTCAGGTGGCCGCTCGCTCGTTTGCCACCTTATGACATAAAAAAAGACTTCTAAAAATATCTTTGCAAATCTCCATTGAAATACTATTTCTAATTGGTGCTAAACAATACTGTTAGTACAACAGATTTTGCAATGAATATAATTACATTTCATCGTTTGATCACAAAGACACGGAATAAACTTGTTTTTAGCACTAAGAATAGACTAGACACGCCTTGCTCAGTATGTAAGTAGATCAATTGTTTACCTTGTTGTGGAAATAAAACCTCTTTTGTGACCTCTGAAAATGACAAGGTTAGGGTTGCCAGGTTGTAACAATTTACCTGTATAATTGCCAAGTTATTCACAAACATATTTTGAAATGAAGTTATCCCAACATATTTAAATAAACACCGAGATTCGGAAATAAATACTGATTTTAATTAAATCTGAAATAAAAAGTACTTATTTGAGATTTAATTGAATGATGTAGATTTATCAAACGACCATCTTTCGTATATCAACTCAGTCTAACAGTCTCTGGCCATGTAAATCTGAAATAAAATAATTCGCGTCCATAATCAGCACTTGGATTATTGCGCGGTTGGGCGACAGCCCAGGGCGTTGGTCTAAAGGTCACAAGTTTGCGAATCACACACTCTCGTAACCCTCTAAACCTCCACCTCATAAGAGGAAGCAAAGTTGTGTCTGAACCGCGCCAAATACAGATCCGTGGTCTCTGCCTACCCCTCTGTGTTACTATCGTGAGTTATGTTGTTATTTTTGTAACATGTAAAGTTCATTTTTATTAACAAAAATTAAATAATAAAATGGCAATATGACAATGACGATCTCGTGAGTCAACGTATTATCTCGCAAACTGTTCCGGTTTGCGAAACGAGACGGCCTCAGTTTGTTCCGGCAAGTAAAAGATTACTCTTGTTTACAAGATTCCGTACCTTGATAATGCTAAGAGGAAATTATGTTGGCAACAGACATTTTGTGATATAATTCTTTTAACAATCACTACTCTTCCCTTTCCCATCTCTTGTACGTAGATATGGCAAGGAAGAGGTCGCATTGGTAGGGTAAAATTCTTCATTTTGTGCATCTTCTCTTTTGATTGAAGATAGGCAACTTACAAATACGGTTGTCAGGGCAGCGGTCTTCGCTATTTAAGGCTCAGCGCAGTCGGACCACCGACCGGGTACATTTTGTTAGATCGCGACGCACACGAAAGGCCGGTGGTAGCCACTCGTTACAGTATTCAAATTTATGAAAAACCGTGTGAACTGCTTGTCGCTGTCCACCAGTGGTTGTGGTCGGTCTGTGCCGAGCCTTAGCAAATGCTAGCGGCCGCTTTATCGTTTGTCAACCTATATTATAAAAAAAACACTAATGTTTGCTTAAAATTACATGAATATTTTTCTTTCAGACCATTCTTCAGTGATCATATACATCCGTTTATGAAGCAAATGGTAAAAGGTGTTAAAATGGCGGAGAAATGTCCGTGCTCTAAGCAAGATTATTGCAAATGATTTTGGTTCTCAATTTTTTCAATTAAATGTTTTGTGTTTCAAGAGATATTTTAAATAGCAATTTAAATAGCATGTAAGAATATAATATGATGTACTTTCGTTACTTATAAAAAAAAATTGTCGTCTCAAGTCCTCGTCAGTTCCGGGTAATCCCCGAAACAGCTCGAACCATTTTAACCGGACTTTTTATGGAAGACAGTTGATGTATGAGGAAGTAACAGCTGCTTTAATTTCCCGCTGAATAATGTGGCTATTATTTCAATATAAACAAGCTAGACAGGCATTATATTTAAATGTAACGAGTAATCTGGCATCTTCCATAAAAACAATGTCTACGTGACTCAATCTCATTGTTATGCTAGACGAGCAATGGATTTATTTATCGATTTATCTCACACGTATATTATTGAGGAAAAACTAACAATATATACCTATTATTACATCACGATTAAAATGGTACATAAAAATGGCAGCGTCTTTAAAAATTAGGCAGAAAAAATGGATGCATATTTTGCTTTGACTCTATTCTCATCTATTGTTAAATAGTTTTAATGTTTTTAATGAGACCATTTGAGTGGTTAATTTTCATCATCAGCTAACTACAAGTTCGCACTGAGGGGCTCGGAGCCTACCCTAAGTCAAGGACTAGGCTATAGTCAACCATGCTGGCCCAGTGCGGGTTGGTTGACCTCACACATCTTTGAATTACTTTTCAGAAATAATAATGTTAGATAAATGTAAATCAAAGTCTTAAAACTCATGGCGGGATTCGAACCCAGGACCTGCAGACAAATGGTTAAATTTGTTTATAAAATATTTTACTTATCCATATATGTACTTCCGGCGAAATTCGGTTATTGCGATAAACTTAAAAAATATATTCACCATAACAATGCACTAGTCACGTCTTACATTAATTCAATGACAGTTTAAAGCCATAATTTTCCTGCAGGAAGAGGTTAACGTGAGCTAATAAAAAAAATATTACGAAGGCAGCTCGTTTTGTTGTTTCATACGAAATATTTTCCTCAATCTGTTTGTCGTATAAAAGCTTTGAGATTTCCATATTTCGCACAGTCTGAATCCGGCACCATGGATACTAAGATCTGGTTTTTACTTACGCTTGTGGCTATAGTTCGATCAAAAGATCTATCCGAAGGTTCCGAAAGTTTTGGAACTAATAGTCAGAAAATATTTGATGAAAATAAAAAAGCGAATCCAGCGATATGGCGTCAAGTGGACAATATTACTATAACTGGAGACGAAGGGATGAAAATCAATAAAATCCTGGTGACTGATTTAAGAGAAGAAAAAGATGGAGAAGCGAAAATACTTGAAGGAGGTATCGACCACCAAAATGTGACTATAGAACTTAAAAGCCCTACAGCATTGAGAGGATATGACTTCCATATTGAAGTGTATGCAAATTCTGACAACACCAAGGCATCAAGTCACGACGCATCCAAACAAGAAACAAATGCAAAACCCTCTGATGAAAAGAAACCCCTCAAGGCAGTTCCAAGTGTACCTGTAACTTTAACGAGAGATGAACCAACTTCTGAACAACCTCAGGAAGGAGGTAAAAGACAAAACCGTGATGTAGAAGACAAAGATAAAACTAATAAGCAACTCAACCCACATTCTACTAGTGCAACCACAGTGCCTGAATTGAAATCAACAAGCATCCCAGCAACGAATAAAGACAAAAGAGAAGATAAATTACCCGAACACGGTAACACAAATCAACCTATACACTTACAAGAAGCACCCAAAATGCCTGAATCAACCGCAAGAAGTATTCCAACGACGGAATTGAAAATAGCCGAAGAAAAACACAACCATCATGAAATCCATGATAATTTTGAGAATAAAAAACAAACGAATTTCGAATCGAACGATAAACATGCCGATGTTAAATATTCTCAATTTAACGTACGTGAAGTGACACCCAATGTACCTATTAACGTGCAATCCCCTGCTGAAGAAGGTCATAAGAGACATGTTCGTGACATTAACCAAAATTCCCCGGTAGTAAAAACTAAAGAGCAACCATTGCCTCCTGCTACATTAGGAAACCAAGGTTCTACTACAACTAAAGTTGCAAATGACGAAACAAATCAACCAGAAAATAGTCAATCAGCTCCGACAGATAATAAACAAATTAAAGAGCAAGTCAACGTCGCTAAAGAAGAAAAAGTACACGAACGCCATAACCACAATAATAGATTCAATGGACGTTATGTTCCCGATAGATTTGCTCGCAACCGTAACTCCGATTCAAAACGAGACACTTCTACAGAAATCAACAAAATCTCAACAACAATTACATCGCAATCTAGTACACCAATTATTCCCAGATTAATTGTAAACGTGCCTACTACAAACAAGCCTGAAAGTAGCACCGGTAAGCAAATTAATAGTGACATTAATACAGAATTACATACTAACAAGAGAAGCACATCTGAAGAAATCACAGCACACAAAAGGCATACACGTGATACAATTGACAAAAATAATAAAGAACAACCCAATTTATCAACTGGCAACTTAAAATACTCTCCAATTTCAACGACATTGAAACCTGAAATAAATAGAAAAAGTGAATTAAACATTAATACAAGCAAAGTTAGCTCGTATGGCATAAAAGTGCCAATTGAAGCTACTGAAAAAGATAACGAAAATAAACAAGATATTCCGAAAACAGACAATTTAGAGAACAAAGAAAAGCAAAGAAATATTAGAGGTACTGAAGACAAGGAAGAAAAAGACAATAAATTGACTACTTCAACTACAAAACCCGGAAATACAGAAAACCATAAAAACGCACCATCTACTGAGAAAACACATATCCAATTACCCATTCAATTTAAAACTACAAGTCAAGATAAACACCCTAATGATGCTAAAAAAGAAAGAATCACTCGTGACGTCATAGGTACTCAAAATACTTGTCATCAATCAAATGACAAAAAATTATGTGCCCCTGGTATGAATACCGAAAACGGAAGGAAATCAGACGAAAAAGTTACTGAAGAAAAAGAACTAAAAGGAACAACAGTTGTAGTTGCCAGTAATAAAAATGCTAAAAGTGAAATAACCCCAAAAATCGGAGAAAACGTCACACAAAAAAATGACTTAAGTACCACAGTGAAACCTTCAATTCATCGGGAAAACGAAAAAGAAAAGCCAGAAAAATCTTTAGTACCACCTCAATAAGTATTTTTTTAAACTCTTCATTGTAGCAATTGTTTGCTGTTTGCACTTCGTTTATTAATATTAATAATTTAAATGTTACATTTCTATTTATTAAAAGTGTAAAATAAAAGAAAGTGTATTTATTTTCCCTTTATTATTATAAAAATACATTGTCAATAGTACGGAATGGTGAATATTAAAATAAAATATAATAGAACCCCGGTAATACGATTTCTAAGGGACCGAGCCGAAACCGCAACGGGGTTAATTCGGAAACCATTTCTACAAGAGACACGTGAGGCGTGTGATGGCATATAAAACGTGATGAGGATCGTATTAAGCTTTAAGAAATGTACGAAAACATGTCAGAAGTTACAGGGAACTAAGTAACATGGAGTATTATGCGAGAAATCGTATTACCGGGGATCTACTTTGTAAATTGAGCATTTGTGATATAAAATTGAAACAAAAAATACATTACTAATTAAAAAAAATTGTGATTAAGTCATTCAGGTCTTTTGATAATTGTGTTAAATTGTAAAATATAAAGTATCAAAAGTCATTGTAAAAATAAATATAATATTGATATAAACTGATATATAAACACGGCTAAGCACTCACGTATACACGTCCGGTGGCGGCACCGACTAGTTTCGAGCCCATCGGGGACCTTCATCAGGATGAGTGGTACTGGTATTATTTCGTGGACTCGGCCCGTCGCTCAATGAGCGTTCAGCCGTGTTTATATATCAGTTTAGTATAATGTCTTATGAAAGTTTGAATAATTTAATAATATTGATATGTCAAAAATTTCTAAATCACTTATTTGGTTATGATATAAAAAAAAAAATATTTGATCTAGGATTTATTCAATCTTGAAATTAACTAAATTTGCTATATCACCATGCATTTCCACTGCCGAAACATTATTTCAAAAACATTATTGTCTCGTCGCAAAAACTCAAATAACACTATATTCTTGTAAAGATGTTTCGTTAGTAGAAACTCATGGTCATTTTGGTCAAAATGATATACCTCAATATTCCATCAATAACTTAAAAAATAATTATTTATTTGTAATATATATAAAGAAAAAAAAAATTATATGTCCAAAACAATAGGCATATAAAAAGTATTGATTTCCTATTTTATATTTATTTGTACTGTCTGCTTATTGATAAAATACTTATTAAAATCTAAATTACAGTCACACTTGGACAAACTAGAATACAACTGCCATATTTTCTGTTATATAGGTTTCTCACCGAATGTCTCCATCATGGAGGTTATCTGTTAGGCAGATAATAAATTTTGCTTAGAGGTTTCCTGCTTACCCAAGTTTGACTGTATATTCAAATTAAATTGTCTTCTTTGACAGCCACTGACCAATATAAATGGACTGACTATAAGTAGAATTTTTTGTGTCTATTTGATTTCCGCCATTTTGGCACTGATGGTAGCAGTTTTTAGCAATAGTGTGGATAGAGACAGATTTAACTGTCCCATATCGACGGTGGGAATAGACAATGTACATTTGCTCCAAAGCAATTCCATAACGAATTTCAAAAATGTATGGAACTGACCAGCGACAATCACATGACTTATTGTCAGTTTTATATATTTTTGAAGTTTGTAATACAATCACTTCGGAGCAAATACACTTTGTCTAGCCCTGCAGGCACATTTAAATCTGAACTAAGCAAAAGCAATTGCCTATCCATTTATAGAGAACAGTGTATCCACAGATAAAACAGGTCAGTCATATCTTATGAAACAGATAAAAAATAACCTCTATGACAGAGCCATTCATTGGACAGAATAAATTTGAGGGAATATTTGGTGACAATGTCTAAGTATTGTCTTATTACTGTTGTCTTAATCTGTGAAGCAAAATCTTTTTACTAGTCATATTTTATCAAAGAACAAACAGGTATACCTTTAGGTATGTTATTCCGTCCGTTTAATGTAACTAATTCCATCACAACTACACAACCAATCACTTCCGCACCACAAGTCTTCAATAGATTCGCTGTTGCCGTTATTGAACCACCTGTCGCCATCAAATCATCCACAATAAGGCACTTTAGTCCAGGACGGATTGCATTATTTTGTATCTCTAAGATATCCTGGAATTAAAAAGATTTTTTATGTAATACACTGTACTCAAATATGAAACTATGACTCCATTTATGTGGAATAAAAAAAACAGTAACCTATGTGTTCTTCCATATACCTTCTAACAAACCTCCATCCATACATCCAAACAGTAAGTAGTAAGATTATTATTGGGTGTGCTACTGTCATAAATATGCATATTGGGATCCCTTTTCTTTGATAATAAAGATAAAGACTAAGTTGTAGCAGCTAGTCATACTTATATTATAAATATGAATGTTTAGATAATACATAGATGTAGAACATAGTCTAAAAGAACACATAGGCTACTAATTAAGTTTTTTTTAATTCCGCACATATGGTGTTGTGGGCGGCAGCTAGTTTTTAATACTTATATAAAACTTACCGAACCATATTCCAAATCATATTTATATGCTTCAACTACACCGGGCAGCTTTCCCTTCTTCCTCACAGGTAAACATCCGATACCTAGTTCTGCTGCCAAAGAAAATGAGAAGAGGAAACCTCTTGCCTCTAAACCAACCACAGCATCTACTTCTGGAAAGTTCTGTTTAATGGTTTGTATGAGTAAACTCTGTAGTAACTTGCATGTTGAACCATCTGATATCGCTGAAAAGATGTCCCTGGAAAAGAATTTATATAAATTATTTAAACATTTTTGTGATATATGTAAATGTAAAGAAAAAAAATAATTTGGAAAAGCCAGTAGTTTTTTGTAAATTGAAATAAAGTGAATTAATATCTAAAAAAAAGGTAAAGGTTATTTTTAGTATTACATACATATATAAAACAAAATTCAATTTATTAACAACTTACCAAAATAAAATTCCTTGTTTAGGAAAATCGGGATAGCTTTGGATTTTACTTTTCAGCTCTTTTATCTTGTTTTCAAAATCATTATCCATGTTGAGTTTGAAAAAACAGAAAATATAATGTATGTCAAACTGAGCTAAAGTCAAATATCAATGATAAGGTAACTTTTTGTCGTGAAATAAGACTCAAGCATTACAATGCCATTCTCCCAATATCCAAATTCAACAATTATAAAATAAGAATAAAAAAGCTTATTGAGTTATTAGAGTGTTAATAGTAAGTTTTGCAGGGAATGTTTTGAAAATAAAAACATTTTGTAATTAAAATAAGAAAAATAATGGCGAATAGTGCAACTAAAATGCCTTTGTTTGGTTGTGACTTTTATTTAAAACAACAACTGTCAGACGTCAAATCAAATTCAAAATATTTTAATTCAACGGTTATTATTTAATGTTAATACAAATTAATTCATTATCCAACAAAAACATGTTAAACTCAAAGTGTTATATACCAAGATAGAAAATTACACGAAAGCGACGTTAAACGAATAATTTCCTACATTGATTTCCCGCCATCGCAAACTTTTGAAACTTTCGCCGATCAACAATGTTATCATCGAATGATTTAGAGAGGCTAATTGCAGAGAAGAGACATGACATAGAGAGGGAGAAAATTGATTTGGGCTTATCAAGATCACTAGATAATGTAAGTAAAAGTAACTTGTTGCATTTTACCGCCGTGTGATAATATCGATTTTTCTACGTTGCCTCAGTCAGCCGGTGAAGTAGACATTAATTAATACTTCGTTTCAGTACATCTGAGGCCGTTCTGTAATGTAGTCGCGTATTTCATTTTCCGTGGTGTTTGTTTTGTAAATAGTGCGTTTCAATTGTTTACATTCTTCTTAATATTTTTAGGATGCTATAAAATAAAAAATATCTTGCCATGTATTAATATAAGGTAAGTATAGATAAGACGTAATTTAGTTTGTAATGAAATTGGCAATAATAATCAATTTTAAATTTTCAAAAGGGTAGAAAATTAAATGAAAAAATGGTTTTCTGATAGTTTTAATTTTTTAATTCCATTTTTTATATTGGTTTCACATAGGTATTTACCTAAATCTTAATTCCCAAAAATAAAATAGAGTAAAATTTATGATAAACATTGGTTCATTTGTTTTTTGAATATTAAAAAAAATAAAATTAAGAGGGTATTTGTAACTTAAAGAACTTTCTCTTAGTTTTCGGACTCCTGCTTCAAATCCTCTACCCCTTCCCATTCTTTCCTGATAAGAAGGATGGTAAAGGCAAAAAAGACTGAAATGAAACCTCCGGAATGAATACTCCTCAGAGGAATTGCTTTTGTTTTACACCTGTCTTCTGTCTGGTTGTGGTACTGTATGATGCAGGTCCATTCATGTAAAGTGGAGAGACATACAGAGAGTCAGATAAAATTTTAAAATTGTTTTGTGTATGAAATATGAAATTTTTTCAATGTTACATACAGACACACCAATTTTTTTATTATTATATGTATGGATTAGCTTGCTTAACTTTCCTATTTGATCATGTTAAATCGTTATTACATATTTAGGGGACAATCTACGCACATGTTTCACAAAAATAAATGCCAAGAAATATTGATTATAAATTAAAAGGTTATTCCCCTTTGATAACTAAGTTGTACGAAAATCGAAATACTGTATCCTAATGTTTTAGGTCATTCGTGACGTTTATATATCTAGATAAAGTATCAACAAACGTAAAAAGTTTTTTATTTAATGTTTTTAATTATAATTAACCTAGATTTTTATTAAAGGTTAACGCTCATTTCACACCTCGTCCAGCTGTCACCGCTACGCCTCGCGATCACCGTGGCGTTCACTCGACGTCTGCTCGGGGATGAAAATAAATCTTATATTTAAAATTCTCGTGTCACAATTTTCGTTCCCATACTACTCCGAAACGGCTTGACCGATCCTCATGAAATTTTGTGAGCATAATGAGTAGGTCTGAGAATCGGCTAACATCTATTTTTAATCCCGCGCGGACGGAGTCGCGGATGACAGCTAGTAAAGATATAAAATTGTAATATGTCTTTCTCGCCTGTTTGGGTAGTCGGCGCACCGGCGCGAAGTCTGGTTGATGACGAGTGGACGCCTCGATGATATAACGTTTTGCTAACAAATTTTCTGTCATAAGTAGCTGTCGCCTGCGACTTCGTCCGTCAAATTTAATCAAAATCCGTTGAGGCGTTCCGAAGATAAATTCAAAGAAACATCCAACTCTCAATCAGTCCATCTAAACTTTCGCATTTATATTATGTAATGCTAACTGTATGTAACTTCTCGCTTCATCGATAACGTCTTGGCGACGATGAGTTGCGCGGCGTTTGCGAGTTGATTAGTAGGCGTTAACCTTTAAATTGTGTTTTTGTTGTAGAATGTAGAAGAAAACAAAGAATATAACAACAGTAAGAAAGTTCAGATCTCAAAACAAGTGTCACATAATAATTATGTGAAACCAGATGATAGTTTACAGAAGGAAACAATTTCACTTGAAGAAGATATACCTGCTGATTTAGAAAGATATATACGCGTAAGTAAAACATAGTATATTAAAATTATATAGTTACTATAACAACTTTATTTTTTATGATGACGTCATAAATTTCAAATTGCATGTTATTGCAAGTTTTAATGTAAGCTTCTACTGCCGAAAGACATGAACTTAATTATGTTTCCGTCCTTCTCATTCTTTTTGTAAAGACAAGGATAACAATTATTTTGGCAGATGAGACACATGGTATAGATATATATCCCTATTTTATTACTCACTAGATTTCGCCCGCGACTTCGTAAGCGCGAAATTAAAAAAAAATGTAATTAGTAACCTATGTGTTCTTCCAGACTATGTTCTATATGTATGCCAAAATTCTCCGAGATCCGTTCAGCCGTTCCAGATATATCTTCAAAAACATGATTCATCTATCCATCCAAACATTCGCATTTATAAAATTAGTAAGATAATATCTAATATCTAGTCATCGTATCTTCATTTTGTTAAATTTTTATACAAAACTAGCTGTCGCCCGCGTCTCCGTCCGCGTATATAAAAATCTTAATATATAGATAACTTAAAAAAAAGCAGCTCTTCAAGGCATAAATTAAAAAAAAAACGAATGAATAGTATTCTGTGTCCGTCTCCTGGCTCTAAGCTACCTTCTCACCAATTTTCAACCATATCGGTAAAGCCGTTCTTGAGTTATAAATAGTGTAACTGACACGACTTTCTTTTATATATATATAAGATGATTAATTTTTCTGTCCGTACATTAAAATTAAGACAGTAATTTTTTGCACATCAAGTACTGAGTAGGCGACATGTCCTCCCACATCACAACCGATAAGATATGAATTATGTATAAGTGACGTCATACCACACAATAAAACTAACGACACGCTTCGTAGCGCACAGACTATAGCAGATTAACAGTTGCCTGCGACTTCATACACGGAATTTAAAAAAAAACTAATAATAAATATAGCCCATGTCACCCGGGGATAGTGCAGCTTTCAAACAGTACAAGAAATTTTTAAATCGGTTCAGTACTTTCGAAGACTATTCGTTGCAAACAAACAATCAAGTCTTTCCTCTTTATATTACTCCGTCCATGCGGAATTAAAAAAAACATAGTAGCATGTGTATCCTTCCAGAGTATATTCTACATGTGTCAAATTTCATCGAGACCTATCCATCTATACATCGAAACATTCACCTTTATAATATAAGTAAGACTTACTATAATATGCCCATCACTAGTGTATCCTCAGCCTAAACTAATCAAAGTGAAGGCATCGTATTTCGCTTCGTGAACAGTTCACCAAGAATAGAGTAATTTACGTTGACTTCGCGTGCTGGTAAACATCTGACGTCCGCTGTCTAGTCATTACTGTCGTACTGTCTGTTGCTTATACTGTGGCACACCGGGGTAACACAAAAATAATCTTACTAATATTATAAATGCGAATGTTTAGATGGATGTTTTAAGGTATCTTCGGAACTAACTGAAATTTGTCATAGATGTATATCATAGTCGATAAGAATAAATAGGCTACTAATTACGTTTTTTTTTAATTCCGCCCGGACAGAGTCGCGGGCGACTACTAGTCAAGCATAAAATAAATAAAAGCAATCCATCCAATCTATTTCATTGTAATATTTTACTTAGTAAAATAATAACTATGCTTTGATTAGTACGGGGAAAGTACTTTATTTATCAACTTAATAATATAATCTTGTATGTTTGTATGTATTCATAATATATAAAATAGGATTTAGGTAATTACACTTCGCACAGGTAGACAGTAAAATCCGATTAATATTAAGCCAATTTACGACACTGTTTATATTTCCAAACTGTGTTGTGGGAAACGTAGGCCTTTGTATGGTTACTTCGCAATGTTACTTTGAGGTTATTTCACGTTTATGTACAAACTAGCTGATGCCCGCGATTTCATCCACGCGGGATTACAAAAAACTTAATGAGTAGTCTATATGTTCTTCCAGACTATGTTGTACATCTGTTCAAAATTTCATAGAGAACTTACCTTTACTAACACAAAAAAAAATTAAAAAAAAATGTTTGTAAATTCAACGTATGGTTTTCAATACTTAGAGATACGAAATGTACTTTGAGTCGCTCAGTGTACATTAAGTATTGTAACGCCTACTCAGTTCAAGTATTAAGTTTTTTAAACATTTTTTTTTCAACAAGAATGGTGTTAAAACGTATATCAGCAACTTGTAATGTCTGCCTATAATTAGTCACCCTCTAACGCGTTTTTGGGTTGCTATTACATTTTGTTGTGTTTATAATTACATCATTTTTGTTGCGTTATGTAGCTCTTTAATTAACTGTTGTGTTAAAGTAGAATTCCACTGTAATGACAGTGACAAGGATATTGGGTCCTTGGGCATAATAATCAACCTGTCCTTATTCCTATTGAGAGTAGGCACAGTATGTACTTACTCTACTTATATAGTACGTAGTACTCAAGTTGATTTACTTAAACATCGTCATATGTTAACAGACATAACTTTCTAATAGAAGTTTTCTCGATTAAAACGAAGTAGTATATGAAAATGAGAAGAAATTTCAAGGTCACGTTTTGTTAAAATTCGTTACATGAAAGAGAAGGAAGATACAAATTTTAATAATTTGGAATTCGTTCTAATTTAAAGATCGCATCGAATCGAAAAACCTTTTTCTTATATCATTCGAATTTTTGTATTTGAAAATTGATTTTAGCTGTAAGTTAAGTGGCTTGTTACATTTACGACCTTTGATAATGCACTGGGCGTGCAGATTGTATGACTCATTTGGTCTGTCGACCTCATTGACTGAATTAGCTCTGGCTATTTAGATTACCTCACATCTTATGTTATCCTGGTACTTTAAAGAGAATTTAAAAATGATTCTCCAGAATATCATCATCATCATCAGCCTATATTAGTCCACTGCTGGACATAGGCCTCTCCCATGGCACGCCACTGAGCACGATCCTCGGCCACTCTCATCCAGCTCTTGCCAGCTGCCCTGCGAAGATCATCGCTCCACCGAGTCTGAGGACTCCAGAATATGCTTATGAATAAAAACATATACTTATTTTTTTATTAAAGAGTATAAGAAGGATGAATAATGTTTTCGTACAAATGTTTCGGCAGTGTAAACGCACATTATAAGAAAGAATTTAGCGTAATCATATTTCATACTAATATTATAAATGCGAATGTTTGGATGGATATTTGTTTAAAGGTATCTCCAGAACAGCTGAACGGATCTTGAAGAAATTTGGTATATATATAGAACATAATCTGGAAGAACACATAGCTCACTTATTTTTTATATCCTGCGGACGGCGTCGCAGGCAACCGCTAGTAGGTAATTATTTTGACAAGACCGCAGACCATTTGTGTAATGAGACGCATTTCTCCTCCCCCGCGCCGCTTGTCCTACCCCGGCGCGCCCCTGTCTGCCGCTCCCTGATCTGACGTAATATTCGTATTAAAAATAAATTATATACTATACTAACAAGACTCCCTGGTTTGTTTGTATAGACAGACAATTTATTGTCTTACTTCACTCTACTACTAATTTGTACAAAGTTAAAGAATTTTATAGACAGAGGGCGTAACACGAAAATTTATGACAAGCGCCATCGTATCGTTATCGATAAAATTTGTGCAATATCGGTCGTAAATTACACCAAAAAATCTCGTACTTATCTTACTTCTTACTAATATTATAAATGCGAATGTTTAGTTAGATGGATAGATGGATGTTTGTTTGAAGATATCTCCAGAAAGGTTGCATGGATCTCGCTGAAACTTGGTACAGATATAGAACATAATCTGAAAGAACACATAGGCTACTAATAACTTTTCTTTTAATTCCGTGCGGATTCCACTGTCAACAAACTTTTGACACAATTGACGATAACGATTCAAAGGTGCTTGTCGATATTCTTGATAGGTCCACTAAGGTGTCATTCGAATACTCACCGGATTATCAAAAGTTTTTTTTAAGTTATTATTATTAGGAAAAATACCAACAAATCTGTTACTTTTTTATATATAGTCTATTAATTAACTTTTTAATTAAATTACGCATTAGCTATAAGATAATTAAATGAATGTTTTATTTCGATATTAGGTCACCTAGTATGAACGCACCCTTAGGGAGCGGTCGTCTGTATTGAAGTAGTCTAGCCCGATTAGTGTAGCTAGCAGTTGTTTGTTGAAAAACAATCTGATATTAGTTACTGTAACAAATAAATTGTGATTATTCAAGGGTTTTTGACGTGTAAGTTTTGTTTTTCTAATAATTACAGAATGGACTATTCTTTTCGAAATTTGAGGACTTGATTGATTTAACTTCAATAAAGGATTTCTCTGCCAACCCCTCTCAGTTACGGGCGTAATTTTCTTGTTCAATAAAGGATTTTTTATGCTTTTAAAAACGGTTAAAATTTGTGTAGAATATAAAGTGATTTTTTTATTAAAAAAAATTGGATGGTTGGATGGCATACTGGAGTTTCTATAAGTTTTTTTGTTCCTATAAGTTTCTATAAGATAGGTAACTTAAAACTGGCTGTTACAAACGATTCCGTCCGCGCGATTTAAAAAAAAACTTATTGAGCAGTCTGTGTGTACTTTTTTTTTATATCATAAAGTGGCAAACGAGCGAGCGGTCACCTGAAATCGCTGAATAGCGAAGTGACCGTTGCCCATAGACATACGCAATTCCATATGCGTTGCCTACCTTTAATCGACGGAGGAGAGGATGCACAGAAAGTAAATATTTTACCCTTCCATGCATCCTCTCATCCGGAAAGTCCACTTCCACTTCCCATCCTTTCCTTATGAGAAAAAGGGTGGGAAGGGAAAGAGGACTAAATTAGGTCTCCGGGACGCACACTCATCAGACGAAACGCGGAATTGCTTCCAATTAACGCCTGTCTTCTGCGTGGTTGTGGTATTTTACCGGGCGAGCCGGGCCGATTCGTGCGAACATGTTAAAGCGGGCTCTACCACTG